TTAAATATATTACTCTGCAATCTGTCCCCCTTAAAACACTGATTATTCAGTAGTTTCCCCACTGAAAAAAAAAACTAATTTCAAAAAAGTAAAAAATAAAAATTCCAATCTAACTAAAACATCCTACTGACCTTCACATTTATGTGAGCTCCCTCACCCCAGGGAATAGCTTTATGTGTGTCAAAGCTTTAGAACTAGGAAGACGCTCTGATGCTAAGGGACCTGTTTGTGCTGATATTTCAGGGATGAGCTTGATGCCTAGAAACTGCTATGTGCAGATGTCACATAGTCAGAGACCAAAGTGCTAGCTAGCCTCAGTAAACAATGCCAAGAGAGGACCCAAGAGGCAAAATTAAATCAACCAAGAGCCATCATTTAGCTAGGTGCAAAGCCATTTCCATTTGCCTGAACCGAGTAGCCATAGCCCCGGTACTTTCCTGCATGTGCTATTGGGTGAACAGGTACCTCAGATGGCCCCACAGGAGGAGGTTTGAAATGTCACAGAAGGGTGTATATGTGTGTGTGTGCATATGGTGCAGTGTATGTGTGTGTATGTGTCTATATGACTGTGTCTATTTGTCTGTCTTATGAAGCTCTGTGTGTTCTCATGCTGGTGTGTATGTATTTAGTGTGTCTGTGCCTGTACTTGTGTGTGTGAATGTATGCTTTAAGGGAAATTGGGGGGGGGGAACAGCTGCTCTGAAGGCCCCCACTAGAAAGGTTTTCTTTGCACTTCTCCCAAGTTAAATTATTTTTTTTTTTACTATCCAATGTCTCTCCTTTGTGTATCATAATACCCAGTATTTTTCTTTCTTAGCTCTTACTATAATTTGTCATTTTTGCTTATTGGGAGATGTCATCCCCACTAAATGAGAATGCTTTGATTGCAGGGATATTTATCTTCCATGCCCAGCACAGTGCCTGGAAAAATAAATGCTGACAAATAACAAATGAATCAAGGGCAGAAGTGCTGGCATACACCATGGTGTGAAGGCCCTCTCATCATCTATGTTGCTAGAGAAATCGCAGGTCCTTGCTGCATAACTGAAGCAAGGATTTTGAGGCCTCCTTAAAGGGACTCGTGACATGCTCGTCAGGCACTGCCACCAGCAGCAAGCCCCCTGCGTGCACATTTCTGAATTCCAGAACAGATGAAGCTATCTTCATTCAGCTAAACTATCCCATAGGGTAATGACTAATGCATGAACCAGTTTCTGTGTGAAGAATGCCCAAATGGATGAATATATAACTGACCCACTCCTCTCGGGGCAGGGTCCAATAGAGACCACCCACATGGGCTTTAAAGCAGAGGGCACTACAGGTGCTTGCTGTCAGGACAGCAGGTGTTACTCTCCTGGTTAGAGGGGCAGTATAACATTAATATGTCATTGCTGATCCTACAGCACAAATCAGAAACCAAATCTGAGCCCTTCATTTATATGTATCTTCTTTGTGGATAGCTAAGCAAAATGCAGTCTGCATACTGATTGGCCCTTAGTTCACTGACTGGAACATGAATGAAGCGGATAGGGTATGTGCAGGTGTCGGAGGAGGAACTTCTGGTGTACACTTGTGTGCTGTGTGCTGGCTGTGAGATGGTAGAGATGGCCTATGAATTTGCATACAGATCTTCATGCCTGGAGAATGTAAGAGTGGTTTTATCAAAGCTCCATCCTGGAAATGACTCAGTATCACTCAGAGAACTGACAATTTTTTTCCCATGTTGGTTGATAAAAATCAACCTCATACTTTTTAGTAGCTCCTAGCATTCCATTGTGTAGCTTCTTTAGCCAACCTTCACTAACACCACTCCCCCTCGGCCCCCATAATCAATTAGTGACATGAGTAATATCTTCCTTTGGAGGCTAGTGCCTTGTCCAAGGCTACTCAACTAGACAGTGGTAGAGTTGGGTTATAGTCAGCTTCTCTCTGGCTCCAAAGTCTATAATCACTTGCATAAATTAACACAAATATAGAGGCCTCCCTGGTGGCGCAGCGGTTGAGCGCTGGGCTATGAAGCTGCCCACAGCCTCTGCAGCGCCAGCTTGATCCCCAGCCACTGGGCGAGGGTCCCACATGGCAAGCAGACCTCTCCTGCTGCGCCCACTGCTCCCCTCAACAGTGTACCTCAGTCCTTCTGCCTGTTCTGTTCCCCGCTCTGGCTCTGGTGAATTCTCTCACCCTCCCGTACTTCTGACTGTACCCAGTACTTGTATAAATAAATAAATAAAATCTTAAAAAATGATAAATTAACACAAATATAAAGGTTTGCTTTAAAGTGAGATAGAAAATCAATAGTTACTAACCACATTTATTGGGTGTCTTTTATGTGCACAGCAAGTGCTAGGGAACATCCTCCTTGATGTTTCTCTTCTCTTGACTTCCAACTCCCTTTCATACCTCCTTGCTGGTTATAAAATCTGTTGGCTCTTCTGCTCGCTCTACCTATCCCCCCGGGTTTTACCCTTGGTCCTCTCCCTTTTTACCATCACTTAGAACAGTCTCTGTGATTCTTTTTGTGTAGGCTACCTGACATCAGAAGTTGTCATTTCCAGGTCTACCTCTCTCATCCAGCTCTGGCTCCTTGCTGTTGTCTCCCAATGTTACTCCTCTTGAGTATTTCATAGGCATTGAAGATTTAGTATGCCCAAATCTGAACTCATTATCCTACTCTCAAATCCACTCCTAATAAACTTTGTTGTTGTCTTGGGGTGGCCCAAATTAGGGTCCTCAGTGCTTTCATTATTCTTTACCCCCAAATCCACTGAGTTGGATTGCACTGGCTCAATGTCACAAATAATTCTTGGATTTGCCTTCTCTCCATCACCACTCCCCAGGCATAATTCAAGCTCTCAGCCCCTCTCTTGGAACTAGCACAAGTCACTCTCTCTTCTCTAGTTCTCTGACCTCCCAAAACACCCGACCTATTCCTCTTATCCCTCACTTTAGTGCTCCAAGACTGCAGGTTTATTTTCTAGTTCTATTTCCAATTACATGAAAAACTGGAAATCTAGATAAAGGCTGGTCTTCTTGAATGTTTGCTTAAATATTAGGACCTGTGATATTTCCAGAAATGCTATATCAAACCACAAAAGTGCTTTACTTAAGGTCTTTCATTTTTTTCATAATGATTTCGAGGGGAAAAGAAGGGCTAAGGATGGATTTCTGGGAAGGATTTCTGCCTCCTATGCCTAAATGTATCATTAAACTGAGAATTTCTGACCATTAAACTCATTTTTCAATTTTGTACCCTAGGAGCATTTACAAATAATGTATTTATCACTACCTTTGTGTGATGGTGTTGCAGGTCATCAGCCCTTGGATTTTGCATATTGATAATGCATTTAGCAAGTTTGTGAAAGAAAAAATAGAACTCATAGAAAAATATATAGTATTGTTCTAACTTTACTGCATGTGAGATGTTTTTATTTTCTCAACATGTCAGCTGAATATTTTATTTTATAAAGCACTTTTAGGACTGGTTTGTTCCTCATGATGCAGGAAGCTCTGAGACTATTCTGAAAAAGATAGCTTATCCTTTACTTTTCACACAGATTTCTTTACCAATAGCAACAGAAATATAGGAACAAAGATTAAACTGTCTCATAACTAAAGCAAAAAACCAAAAAAAGGATGTTCTCTTTTTTTTTTTTTGCTATTTTTGTAAAGGAAATGTGATGCATAAGTCTGTTTTATAGGAATCAATTTCTAAGATTCCAGAGATATGACCATCACTACATGATGCCAGTAAAGAAACTCTGTCCCCACTCTTGGAAACTAGGGCATATTCATTCAGGCCTTAAAATATAGAAATACAGCAGCATTTCTCACCCAAATTTTCAGTCAATTGGCTAATTATTTGTTCAAAAGTAAAATAATGCATCCCCAGGTTCCTGGGTATTGGATACTGAGCAGTCTAACTCAGGCTTGGGCGATGACACAGATAACACACTGTGAACGTCAGGCCTATTCTCATGAAAGCAGTTTGTTTTCTATTCATTTCTCTGCCTGTATTTTTGTTCACTCACTCATTTATCTTCCCAGCCACCAATTCAGCAAATACTGAATGACATTAGAGACCCAGAGATGAGCAAAATAAACATGACTCATGTCCTCATGGAAAAAACCAAGGGCATCTAGTACCTAAAAATTGAACTTCTAAAATTTCTTAGCCATTGCCTAGATTCAAAATTTAACATTTCAATCACCGGTGGTTCATCCATTATTCAACCAGTGTTTATTAAAAATTGCTATATTGGAGCCTGTGCCGGTGCTAGAGATGAAGAAAATAGGGGCACAAATCCTCGCTTTCAGGTAGCTTAACTGGTAGGAGAGACATGAGTAAGTAAATGATAAAATACGGAAAGTGCAGTGATAGTGGTCCAGGTCTGGATGTAGAGGAGGTGTCCCAGAGCTGAGCTCACAGAATGAGTACAGGCTGGTCATTTTGATTTCAGGGGGTGAGAGGGAATGAGAAGACATAAGTCAGTGAAGGAGTTGAGAGCTGAGAAGAAGGAGGCAGTTCCCTGGTACTAGAGGGTACTATGTACTCACACCTCTCTGGCCCACTTTGCCCCGACACCCAATGTCAGTAAGCCTCTGCAGATTATCATTTTTTTCCATACTTTTCAAATAGTAGCTGTGAGTATAGCTGAGTATGACTGGTACACATAGGTATCAGGAAATAAGTCAGATATTACTTGGAATTAATTTATCTATAAAACATTCACTGAGTTGGGAAAACAAAAAGGAACACATGATTCTGACCTGAATTGCAGGATAGAGAGAGCAAGCAAGACAAGTGGTCAACACATTTTCACTAACGGCTTTCACAGACTGCAGGGAATACCAAATACCCTTTCTCATCTCTCTATGTGCTGTCCACACATGACCATTCTCCACCTTTCCAGGTCTCAAGGCCCACTCTGAATAGCCCTCCAGTGAAGTCTTCTTTGATCTGGCTATGATAGTTTCACTGCTATCTTTCTTATTGCACTTACCATACTGTGTATATGCGACTAAGAACTCCAGCTCTTGGGCAAAAACCATGTGCCTTCACTTCTGTATTTTCACACTTAGCATGGCAGCTGTAACAAAAATAAGAACATTTTGGAGTTTTGGTATTTGGGTAAGTAAAAGAGAGTCAGGGGGCTGTTGAGAATCTGGCCCCAGGCATGTCCAGCATGCCCAGGCATGCTCAGGCACTTCCATCTCCTGAAGGGGATGAAACAAAGCTGGTGGCCACAGACTGCCCAGGATGAAAGTTTGACCAGTTCTGGCTCAACTAACTTTTGACCTGATTTGCATGCTGTAGCACCAACCAGAACGCAGGTGACTTCTAACCTCATTTATGTAGTGTGCCACCAACAGGAACTTAATGAACTTCTAACCCTAATTGGCACAGCTGACCGGAGTGACAACTATCCCACTTTTTCTAAATGGATACAACCCCTATCTCGTTAACTCAGAACACTATTCAAGGACTCCTTGAGTTTGTGTCTCTTGGGTTGCAGACCTAAGAATATTCCAAATAAATGCTTGTATTTTGCTTCAACCAGTTCTCCTTCATGCTGGGATGACAGCTGGCCTGTAGTTGGCGCTCAAAAGATGCTGAATGATAAGTAATGAAAGTGCAAGGCACCAGTGTTGAGTGGGTGCAGGGCAGTGTGAGAGGGGATTTATGTGTGTGTCTCAATTCACTTTTCAACCCTCAGAGGTTGTTTTCTCTGATAAAGGTGAGACTTGTGGGCAGGTTAAAAACTCTCCCAAGGTCATAAAGCAAGTTAGTAGCAAAAGCTTCGAAGATATTAATCCACCTTTGAGGAGTTCTGTCTGTACAAGAGCTAAACTTTCATGCCTTTTTACAACTTCAAGATCGAAATAATGACAGTTTTGGATTGGACAGAGTATAGTACTTTTCTGCTGAAAGTTGGTTTCAGCAAAATTAGAAATAGTTACTATAGATATTGTATATATTCACATACATTATATGTATTTGCTATCATTGCTTTGGATAAATGTTAGAGGACTGGGCAAGACATTGGACACATTGAACATGAGTGAAAAACTAGCAACCCGTTAGATTTCTAAGAAATTGAAGTAATTTTGCATTAAGAGCATTCAGAATATTGTTTGGACTTCTATAATTGTCCACCATGTTCAAATTCTGAATCATACCCTGAATCACTACTTGCTTGTTAACGCAATTAACCCTTAAAATAAAAAATCCTAGCTTAAACTTTTAAGGGCTAGTGTCTACTAGCCCATTAATGTTAGGCTCTAATATCAAGCATAAATTTCAAAGACCACACTCTAAACATGTAAACTGATTTATGGTCATCAGATGGTGTGTTTTAAAAATAAACTCATATACTTTATGATAAATCGGCAGAGAATGAACTCATGATTTGCACACTGACTCATTAAAAATGAAACAGTTCTACATTTCGATTCCTTAGTGCATCTTGTTTTTTAACATCAAAGACTTCAGTTCCAAGTGCTATTATATCTTCTCATTTGAATATTTTTGCTAAGAATATTTTCTTTTTAAATAGGAAAGAAAGCTGTCATGGAATAAATGGAAAGGCTGAAAAAAATGCACAGCTGCAGGACTGCTCCCATCCAGCATGTTCTGTATACACTGGAACATTAGAAAGAGAATATTCAAAAGCCGAGAGCTCTAGTATCACATTTTATTTAGCTTCCACTCAACTAATTGCAGTTCACCTTGGAAAATTCTACAAAAATTTAAGACAACTAGTTGCTTGGTTTAAACATGGGCAGGCACTGGATTTTTCTACTAAAAATATCTTAGATTCATTAGTTTTTAGTGCTTTTTCATAAAACAGGTACTTGTTTTCTTGTGGAGGAAATTTGGGACATGACACTATATTTTGTAATATTGGTTACAACTGTCATTTCTCTCATGATGAAAAGAAAATTTCCTCTGCTATTTCTGTTTTTCCTTTGTATCTTTCCCATTTCATTAAGACTGTGAAACGGCTTATGAGAAGAACAATAAAAATGGACAAAGGTAATTAGGCTTCCTTAGGGATACTGATATGTTGACTGATCTGAGATGTCTAATGTTTGCCTGGTCAGATTAAGCCAGTTTTGGTGTAAATGTGATCTGAATGGGTTGCTAAGAGCGGGATGTGAGTGTCAAGGGCCTTATGGTGTTCTTTATCTTGATTCATTCTCAAAGAGGAAGGACAGGAGTTACTACTCTCACCTTTCCTCTCATCCCCTCACCAGGTAGTAATACTCACATGTGGAAGACTCCAGCGGGATTCTACATCTAGAATCTGAACAACAAATCCTCTTGACCCACATTATCATTATTTGACACCAACAAGAACCCTATGAAAACATATAGAAGTTGCACAGGATAGGGAACCAGATCCTTCCGAGTATAGCCTAAGGACTCATACCTCAATAATTCCTTTTTCTTTTAAAAAATCTTTTCAGTTTTTATAAAAATAGGGTCAAGGAAATGTTAAGTATGTAGATCACAGAATCCTATAAAGCTATTAAGCATAAATTTGATTCAGAGCTTTCTGGGACCAATGCAAACTGGGAAACCCAGTCAATTATGTGACTCATGTTTTTTGTTTTTTTTTTAAATTTTTTTTTTTAATAGAGGCATGCTTTATTTATTTGTTTGTTTGTTTATTTGTTTGTTTGTTTTGTTTATACATGCACTGGGTACAGTCAGAAGCACGGGAGGGCGAGAGAATTCACCAGAGCCAGAGCGGGGAGCAGAGCAGGCAGAAGGACCGAAGGACACTGCTGAGGGGAGCAGCGGGCGGCAGGAGAGGTCTGCGCGCCATGTGGGACCCTCCTCTGGTGGCCGGGGAGCAGCCAGGGGATCGAGCCGGCGCCGCAGACGCTGCGGGCAGCTTCGCAACCCAGCGCTCAACCGCTGCGCCACCGGGGAGGCCCCGTGACTCATGTTTTTTTTGAGGACCCAGATTGCTAACACTTCAGTGAAACAAAACTTTATGGGCATAAATTTGAAATTTCCCAATGGGTATTCACAAATGGGGCCATAGATGTTGACCTTAGCAATATTTCTAAAATAGAAAAGATAGTCTTGGGCAAGGAGGGGGTTTAGCTTAATGTAACAACTTTGCTCTAGGCAGAAAGGAAATACTTTTAACAATTGAATATGATTTTCTTCAGTGCAAATCACTACCTGAGAGTAGAGTGGGCCCTTCAGGGAAGACACATCTCGGTTCTAGGAGACTCTAATGCACTTCAGAGAAGTTAGAATTATAAACTTGTTTATCAATGAAGAACAGCCATTTTCTTCAAATTTTGCAAGACCAATGCACTCACTGAAAAAAGAGAAAAGTTTATTTTTCAAATTATTTTCTTCGTGCTGTATGCCAGGAACTCTGCTAAATATTTCACATGTACTGGAATATCTGATCTTCACCATTGCTGCATTATATACAGACGAAGCACATGAAATACAGCTCAACTAAATGGCTATTCTTGCCCCAGGCAACAAAGACATAAATGCAGGAATTTGACTCCCAGTCTTTCAACTCCAGAGTCATGTGCCTTCATTATACTAACATTAGTTTCTCTTTACAGTGCTCATTATCAAAGACAGACTTTCGTAAAGAAGAAAATATATTTTAGTTTACAGAAAACACGGCTTTCACGACACAAGAACTCCGAATATATCCTAATAGCCAAGGGAAGAAATTTTGTTGGTATAACTCACCATGGGAACTTAAGTAAATGGATCCTGATATTTTTCTGTACATGTAAAAGGACCCTATTTCAGAAAATGTAGGTTCCATTGAAATTGGGGGGAAAAAGATACTAATCAGCTAACAATGGTCCTCTCCTGTTAACTGAAAAGCAGTTTCCCTCTTAGATAGATTGGCAGGAAGGCTTAGCAACCCTATCTAACATGCTAAAGTCAGACCTCTTGTGTTTATTAGGCAATGTCTCCTAGTGGAAAAAGCAAAGATCTTGGAGATAGAGATGGTAGTTTAAAGGTCATGCTGGCATTAAATATCTGTGTGACCTCATTTAATTTCTCCAACCCTTGGTTTTTTCCCTGAAAAAAAAAAATGCATCTTGTTGTGAAAGTCTGAGATAATGTATTAAAGTGTTGCTGGGTTTCGTGTTTCCTGGACTTAGGAGTTCCTCGGTTCTTGAATATGGTGTGAGAAGAATTCACAGCCAGGTCTTTAGCAGAAGCAAAAGCAATGTTCATTTAAAAACAGAATAAAAGGACACTCAGGGAAAGGTCCCTGGGTGGGCAGAGTCCTTGGTAAGAACAACTGCAAGGGAATTGTGGGGGCTTCAGCCTTAAATAGGGTGCAGTAACTTTTCACTCCATCCCATCTGGATTACACTGTGTAGGTGCTTCCAAAGTATTGATTTACTGGTTCAGGCAGCAGTTTCTAAGTCACTCCCCATTCTACTGTGTGCCCACCGCAAGGTGTTGGGGCAGGGGAGAGCAATAGGCTTGAGTGGCCCTGGTGCTAACCAGCTTTGCCTTTCCCTTGGAGTATTGCTTGTCCAGTTTAGGGGCACTGCCTTATCTCCTGTCTGCCTATAGGTTGGGTGGGTGGACTGCCTTTCTCCCTTCTGAGTGCTTCTTGGCTCTCCCTGAGCTTTAACAACTCTGGCAAGTTTTTTCTGGGGTCCTGGGTATAGCTGAGAGTTTAGTTTTCATTAGGTATTATCCTTCTTGCCCTAAAGTCTAATAAAAAGTGCACAGCTTAGTAGATGCTCAAAAACTGGTTGATATTGTTGTCATTACTGTGATTACCAGGATGTAAGGAGATAGCCAATATGATTAGTAATAACTATTTTGTTGTTTGAGCTAATTGCTTTCAATGAAATTTTATTTACTATCAATTAATCTAATATCCTAGGAAACACTGTATGGAAACAAGTCTCTGTTCTCAGAAACCTTACAATCCAGTAAGAAGATAAAGCAAATAATTGAGTTTGGAAGCAGTTTGGGCTTGCATACATCAACCACAGCAGATAAAGTAAAACACATCAATTGGGAAATGTTCAAGGTCTTGAATGTTACAAGGCAGAGTTTATTCTTAACTTGGTGGGCAGTGTTCTATGAAAAGAAGAGTGACCAAAAAAAAAAAAAAAAATCAGAACTTTAACTTAGGGAGTTTAAGTGAAAAAATGGTGCCAGAGACTTTGGCTAAGGGTATGTTTCAGTGTTCAAATAGCATAGGTGTATAGCTAGTTTCCAAGACTGGTAGAAGAACTGAATTGATCATTTTCTTTCCCATTTGAGTTTTTGGTGACTCTGGAGGTGATTGGTTGAGATTAAAGATGTTTTCTGTGGACATGGAATAGGGAGAAGCTGACTGACACCCTGGAGGATAAACTGGCATTTAGTGGCATTAGACTAAGGTATACAAAGCAACTACAGTATACAAACAACCTTGGTTCCAGTACTTACAGACTGCTCAATAGCAAAGGAAAGTACTTCTCTCATTAGATCCCAGATTCCTGAGGTTTGGGGCCAAAAAAAGAATATCTACCCCTAAGTAGCATTTTGATGAATTATCTAATTAAATAAATGCTTGTGCCTAATAACAGTTTAGTAATGCAATGTAACTCCAATTATATTTTTAAATGATGTCCTATTTAGAATGTATCAGTATTTTCAGGATTTATTTTAATCATTAATCTTTAACATACAGGCTAGGAAACAAAAATAGCATTCCTATTGAATGCTAATATGTCAGTAATTTGAAAAGATTTCCTGTGACTAAGTTAAAAACATCTTATTAATGTATTATATAATTTCCGCTAGAGAAGCTACATTTCCTGTAGTGAGTAGAGAGTGATTTTAAAGCCTGGGAATGTGAGTCGGTAAAAAAGCAGAGGAAAGAATTACAAAAGTACTTAGTAATATATGTAAGGTTGTTTAGTATTACCTGACACAGAATCTCAAATAATAGGTCTTATTACTCTGAAATCTGTTTAAGTAAATACATTTTCTTCTCCAATTTATATTGGCCAAATTAGCTCATATTTCAAACATAAAACTATTCATGCTAAAGTCAGTTGTCTATGTATATTGTAAGTCTCTGAAATGAATCATTTAAGTTCATTAAATGAAAGAAAAAACTTTCTAATCTACAGGACAACACATCCAACAATGCAGGCTTTTCAGCAAGATGAAACCCTCACTCATTAGATTCAATTACATTTACAATACTCTATTTATTAAGCCACGGGGGTGTGCAGAAAGAACACTTAACTATTTTTGGAACGTTCTCAGAAACCAAGGTTAAATAATAAGAGGTTTCTTAAACTCATTAAAATAACTAGAAAATTCTCTTTCTTAAGCATCATGATTAACTAGACTTGAAGGTTTCTTTCATAGCTTTTGATTCTTCAAAATTTATCAAAAGTTCCTTTTTTTGATTGGTAGGAGTCAGAGAGTGAGAGAGGAGAAATAAAAAAAAACAACAAAAAACCAAACAGGGTCTCCCTGGTGTGCAAGGGGTTAAGCACAGCACTGTGAAGCTATCCACAGGAGTTCAGTCCCCAGCAGGCCCAGGAGCTGCCCACATGGCACAGCAGACCTCTCTTGACTCACCTGCTGCTCCCCTCAGCAGTTTATTTCAGTAGATCTGCCTGTTTTGTTCCCCTCCCTGTCTCTGGTGAATCCTCTTACCCTCCCCCGTACCTCTGGCCTGTACCCCAGTTCTTGTATGCATAAATAAATAAATCTTTTTTTTTTTTTTAAGATTTATTTATTTATTTATACAAGTACTGGGTACAGTCAGAGGCGCCGGAGGGTGAGAGAATTCACCAGAGCCAGAGGGGAGAGTAGAACAGGCAGTGACGAAGTACACTGCTGAGGGGAGCAGTGGGCAGCAGGAGAGGTCTGCGTGCCATGTGGGACCCTTGCCTGGTGACCGGGGATCGAACTGGCGCTGTAGAGGCTGCGGGCAGCTTTGCAACCCAGTGCTCAACCGCTGTGCCACCGGGAGGCCCTAAATAAATCTTTTTTAAAAAAAGAAAACAAACAGATTATCCTAAACTGTTCTGGTGCTTCTCATGGCTTTTAAGTAAAACAATGTCCATTGCTCTTAAATATATTCATGTGTATACATACATATATATATATATATATATATATAAGTAAATAAAACAATAGGGAATAAAGTCTTTCACATAAAAATTACAATGTGACTTGTATCACATTACAACATTCGCTATCTACTATTACAAGGACTAGGACTCTGGTTGAGACTGACTTAGTAAGACTGTTTAACAGGCACCAGTGAATTAGTTTGCAATACAAATTAGTTAATTTAACAAACTGGGGAAACATAGTCTTTAGAGGTTTCTTTTCATTTTACATTGGTGGTTTTGTTTGAACGATAGCAAATCGGTCACCTGACTCCATCATATTAGATAAGCTATTAGGTTATGAAAAGAAAACCAACTAAGAAATGAAAAAAAAGGGTAGGGTGTTTAAGTTGACTGTTTCATTTGACTGTCCCAAGTAGACTCCAATGGAGATGTAGCTAAAACATATATTGTAAATTCGGTCTTAATTTTTTAATAGCCTTTATATTTAAATGCCTTTAACAGTTTTCCATACTGACTCTGTTTTTACTATCTTGCATTCAATGATACAATTTACTATTTGTAAGAACTAGACAGAGCAGGGACAAATGCTACTTCAAGGTACTAGCTGGGGGTACAAATACCATTTTAAAAAGGAATCAAAGCTTTCCAGTAATGGCATACCTTCCATGGCAGTCACTGGTGAATTCACCAGCATTTCCCTTCTTCCCTTCCAGGCACACTGGTAAAGGCTGCATCTCCCTGCTACCTTGAAATTAAGAGGTTATACCTGTCGTGGTTGGCAGGCTGTGTCACTGCTGGCTGGAGCTAGTGTACCACTCATCTCTTGCTGTGGTGACCACCAAGGTTGCAAATGGTAGAGGCTCCATCCGAGGGTCTCTGGGTGTACACGGCAGGAGGAGGGTGCCTTGCTAACCCAGGTTGGATATAGAGCTCAAGTGTGAAATAACCTGGCTGTGTTGAGCCTCTGAAGTTTCAGGGTTGCTATCACTGCATAATCTAGTCTGTCCTGATGAATATACCTTCCTTGCCTAAAAGACAGAATCCAGGTCATGAGTTTTAAAACAAGATGTACAGATGAAATATACTGGGTGGCACAGTAAAATTTATTGTCTTTATGATTTACATGTAGTAATTAAACACACAAAAGAACAAACACTGTCAAGATGGCCATATGTAGCTCAGGAAATGACTGGTCCCAGTTCAATCATGCAAATGTTCGTTCAGTTTAGAAATGAGTTTCTTTTTAATGGTTTTAATTTTTTCTTCAGTCTCTAAGGCTTACATAGTTCAGTACTAGTGTATTTTCTATTTCTTTATTATCAGGCACATGATGTTTACCAATTCCCAGGAAATAAATGAAATCAACAAAAAGGTCCTGTGACAATTGAGCACATTTTCAGAGAAATAAGTTTGATGAGCTTATTACAGTTAGAGACAGTTTAACTATCAGACCTACACATGAAACATGAAACAATATTAACAAATTATATTTGTCTTAAGGATTTATTTCTTTTAAAATATTTACCACATATTTTTATGTAAGTTTCATTGATTTCTTTGGTTTCAAACATTATATCACTTTCTGACCTAAATTTATAGTTCTATTTGTACCAAACATAAAAAATTAAGATTTCAGAAGGTAAAAATGGAATTATTGCTTCAGTACAAAAAAAAAAAAAAAAAAAAAAGGCCTGACCATTTGGGTATTGTAGCTATTATTGCTTTGCTTCTATTGGAAAACTATCCTGGAAATCAAGGAATGTATCCCACAGTTCTCAAAGTATAATTTGAGTGTACATTATCACATCTATTAATCTCCTCTTACCTTCACCAAGCTATCCTGATCTTGTCCTTAAAAAATAAAACAAAGTGAAACAGCATAGCATAAATAAATAAGTTTACCTAAAGGGATGCAATAAATAGGCTACTAGATAAGAACAAAGAATACTGTGGCATAAAACCCTTCAGTGCTGTACTACTAAACAACAGCTTTGGATTTTCAAGGTCTCTACACACACAGACTTTGCTTTAAAACAGCTTTAGGGCAGGCATGCAGTTGACTTACAGATTACATTTCCATAATTTAAAAATAAAAACATACTGGATATAGTGGCGAATTCTGCCTTTTGGCAATTAACCTGGGTATGTACCATGCTTAGTTTTTGGCTGCTGTGTAGTTGTAGAGCAAAAATCTTAGAAATTAAGACAAAACATAATATTCCTTTAATTCTTAGTGGTTTCATGGTTTCCAGAATAGTTACAGAAATTACACTCAAAAGTTTTGCTGCCTTCTTTTCTTTGCATCCATCGCATCCAGAATGGGTTGTCTTTTCGCTGTGTATCTTTGACGAAGCTCTTCTATTTCTCGTTCCATCATGGGGTCCAGCGCTTTTAATCGCATTTGCAGTTCCTCTAAACTTAGATTTTTTAGCTGGGTATAGAAAAAAATGAAAATATGAATATAGTAAAATTATCTATAATAGATTAAAGTCTATTGAGCTTTACCATGAACATTTCAACAAATTCTTTACATCTTCTTTGAAATATGGCTCAAAAATTAAAACAGAAAGAACCAAGAAGTCACCTTTTGGAATAACCTCAAGAAACTTGCAATGAAGCAATTAAAAAAAAAACAAACACAACCATTTGTAGGAAAGAGCAAATGATGAAATATGTTTAAAAAAATAGGCAGAAAGACAAATCCACCAACAGACTGTCAAGACATGTTACAGACATATTCACTCTAATGTCTCACATCCTAGTCAGCCACATTGATCATGAACACTTGAAAAGAGCACTCAAGAATGTCACAAGATACATACAGGTTAGGGCCTCCCCAGTGGCACAGCAGTTGAGCGCTGGGTTGTGAAGCTGCCTGCAGCCTCTGCAGCGCTGGTTCAATCCCCGGCCACTGGGCGAGGGTCCCACAAGGCGCGACAGATCTCTCCTGCCGCCTGCTGCTCCCCTCAGCAGTGTACTTCGTCGGTCTGCCTGTTCTGTTCCCTGCTTTGGCTCTGGTGAATTCCCTCACCCTCCCGCGCTTCTGACCATACCCAGTGCTTGTATAAATAAATCTTTTTTTTAAAAAAAGATAGATACAGGTTAAATTAAGTATACTATCTGCATTTAACCAAATACCTCCAAATCTAACCATCTGATTAACTGGAAAATTATCTAAAATACTTTTATCACAACCTTTTTGACAAAGTAAGGTTTTATATTAAGATTCAAAATATTTCAAACCTGACACTAACAGTGCTGTGTAATTTCTTATCATCGGCTTGGTAAATATGAAAGTGAAGTGCCAGTCAAATTTTCACTTTATGTTATAGTTTGACAATAATGATATGATTTGACTGAATGAGATAGTCTGACTATCATGATTTAGTTTGGTTAAGGAAGCTTCTGAGGACACCACCAGCATATCCTTTACTGATTTTCTCTATAACAGTAGGACACATGTCAAATGTGTATAGGGGATAAAATCCATTCTGCCACATGACAGGATCCATGGCATCCATGTTTTACTGTATTCATTCATATATCAAAACAGGAAGATTGGATTATCTCCTGAAAAGCAAAATTTAGGGACGTTGTCTCAGGATTTATGGGATGCCCAGAAATACAGAATTTAACACCAGGGCTTTTGTCTTATTACGTTTAAAAAAAAAGTCTAAAATTCTCCTTCAAAAACTGACTATTAAAGCAATTATAGCAAGTAGGTGGTTTCAAAGAATTTGTTAAACCACATGATTTACAGAATGCTATTGTATACTCAGCTTCTTGGTAGATGCTGAAAAGAAAACAAAGACATAACTAAACTATTCCCTTGCCTAAAGAAACTTACAAATTAGTTAGAAGGATAAGATTAGCAACTATAAACATTTCAGAACTGATGCACGACCCTACACAATTAAGCTCTATTATATATGGTACAGATTATAGTGGGAGGTGTTTAACTCGAATCCAAGAATAAGCGTCTCGTGTGCAAATTTCTGCATGTTCATGTGTATATTTTCTTTTTCTTTTCTTTTTTTTTTATGAGGTCTAAGAACCTCTTCTTTTTTTTTTAATGTTTTTTTTTTTTTAATAGAGGCATGTTTTATTTATTTATTTGTTTGTTTGTTTGTTTTGTTTATACAAGCACTGGGTACAGTCAGAAGTGCGGGAGGGTGAGAGAATTCACCAGAGCCAGAGCGAGGAGCAGAGCAGGCAGAAGGACCGAAGTACACTGCTGAGGGGAGCAGCGGGCGGCAGGAGAGGTCTGCGCGCCATGTGGGACCCTCCTCAGGTGGCCATGTGGGACCCTCCTCAGGTGGCCGGGGAGCAGCCGGGGATCGAACCGGCGCTGCAGAGGTCGCCGGCAGCTTCGCAACCCAGCGCTCAACCACTGCGCCACCGGGGAGGCCCTCATGTGTATATTTTCCTGGAGAGATCATCCACTGTTTTTCTAGGCAGATCCCCAACATGAAAAAGAGAGAAGTCTCAGTAAAATAATGGAATCTCTTTTTGTGGGTGCGGGGGTTAGTCCTTGAAAAGGAGGTGCCTCAGGGCAGTGGTCAGGGCCTTCAGGAGCAGACCCAACCAAGTTCTGAGAACGAAGGAGGGGTACTGGAGGACTAGGGGTTGGTGGGGCCCTGGGAGCCACAGTCAACTGTGGAGCAGAAAAATACACTAGAGTAATCTAGACTTGGTTTTGATGTAACAAAAGCTTCTAGCTTATTTTCTGTTTTAAGAAGAGCATTGTCTTTGGTTAGTTTATGAGCCGTGCCAGAAGATACTCTGATTTCCTTGCAGCATGTCAAGTTTAACCAAAAATAGCATTTCATCTTCTCCATCATACCTGGCCTAAGTGACTTTAGGCTCCAAAAATCAAATCTATTATCAACTGAAAAAGATTTGTCATCACTGAGGGTCATTGAAAAGAATGAGTCACAGACTGAAGAAAATTCGAAAGAGGAGTTTCAAAAAGATAGAAATGGCAGTGTTATGTGAGAGCATAGGCCCCAGAGGATGACTCTGAAGGTGAATACCACTCTGAAGGTGAATACCCATTATTTTTCAGTCACACATCACCAAAAGAACCTAGCACATTATATTAAACTACCATATATATTTATATATAATGCACAGCATTATACTATGTACTTCATTAATTTTTAATCCAGATATTAATCATGCATCTTTTATATGGTCACTAACATTCCAAGAGAGAACTTTGAAACTTTCTGAGTTGTGTAAACAGGTGACAGTGAGATGAAAGGCCAACAAATACCACACAAAGCTACATTTCCCTAAGAAAGACAAGGCTAGCTGCTATCTACATGAGATCCAATTCCACTTTGTCTCAATTTCAGCCTATGGTAATCTTTTTTATCCATGAATTTCTATATGATATTTATAATTTAAGCAACATAATTTATTATTTGACTCAAGTCATGAATTATTTTATAATCAACTTTTATGCATGAGTTTCATGTCTCCACTGCAGATATTCTAAAAAAATACTTAAACTGTAGAGAATGTACAAGAGCTAGAAACTATTCAACCACCTTGCTAAATATATGAAGGTGGGTAGAAAAACAGGAATATGGAATGACTCTAAGGAATGGGTTACTTTAAGATTAAGAGAAATAATATTATACGAAGCAAACAATTATTGTCACTTTTAATTTTTTCAAAATTAAGATATTCCTATACTACCATACTGGGGGCAAACTGCCAATAGTTTATAAATATTATATTATAGTAATGGATTGAATTTCGGGAAAGAAACTACTCAGAAGAAAACTTTTTTCCTCTAATAAGAAATTTTTTCCTCTAACAGACTTTGATGTTTTCAATATGTAAAATTTATGAAAAACAGGTCTAAGATATTAGAGAACCACTATCTGACATTGTTAGGGAATGAGGTGTTCATGCAAGCAAATTCATGAAGCATCTAAATCTTAGTTCATTATATGATAAAACTTTGTTTCAACCATTTTGAACAGAAAATCTTTCTGAAGTTTTGCGGCTTTCTACAGCAGAGGACATAGAACCTGAAATAACCTTTCCTTAATGATGAATCACCATTATTATCTATTACTAATTCGTGCCATGTATTAATTTGCTTTCTTCTTTTTGGCTTTTGAACTTCATCTGAGGGAAAGCTATTAGCTCCTTTTCATGGCCATCAATAGGAATATGTCCTTCTATCGCCACTTCAAGTTTGTTAATCTATTGAGAGTCAGAAAAGCAATTAAACAATCTTATGAGGCATTATACCAAATAAGAACAGATTTTGAGAGAAAGCCTGAAACTGTTTTGGGAGAGTAAGAGTATGGATTAGTACTGAAGTTTGTAAAAACTGTTTCTAGTATTTCTATGTCTATTTTTAAAATCTGAGTTCAGATTTGTGGCTGTGTAAGGTTGAGATTACAGGAAAACTGACTTCTATACAAATTATGTTTTCGGGTGGGCTGTCAAGAGAAGTTGAGAAAATTCATTTAAAATTCAATAAAATATTGATTGACATTTTCTGTGGACCAAGCACTATAGATACAGAGATGAATAAGACACTCTCCTGAAGAGTTTGCAATATGGCTGCAAGATGGGTCCATGTATAGATAACTCACTGAAGGAAGAGTAAACTGAGAAGACAGGAAACAGAACAGGGGAGAAGGGGAAACAGCATGAGCAGAAACATCAGGCACACAAACACCTGGCATTCTGGAGATGCTGGTTAACTGCTGGGATGTGCAAAGGACAGACAGGGAAAGAAGCTCAGGAGGTGAAGAAGGAAGGGGAGGGGAGGCTATAAAACTGCTGCAACAGGCTTTCTGTAGACAAGAGAGAAATGCTAGATAATCCTGAGTATAAATGGTGACACATGTGAATGAGTTTAAAAAAATTTCCCCAATACCAGATATAGAAAACAGATTATCAGGAGAAAAAAATGGACACAAGAAGATTCATCAAAAGGTTACTACAGAAGTTTAGTGAGAAGAGGAGGCATCAAGGTAGAGATGCCATAGATCTATAAATTATAATAAATTATAAATTTTAGATTCTAAGAGAGAGATTCATGCTCAGGGTGTCTCAGTATGTAGGATGAGATGAGATTATTGAGGAAAAGACTTTCTCCCTGATCTCATGATTTGTCTATGGTATCCAACAGAAAATAATCCCTAAACCTTAGCATTTTATAGTCAAAGGCTCTTATCACTTTGTTAACAGAACAGAAATATTTATAGGTTTGTAAAGAGCTCTACTTTATGGTATCATCTAGACAAAAAAAATGTGAAGATAACTAGTACAATTTCCAGTTTTTACACAGTGGGTATGATGTATAGACATAAACTTCTGGCTGGTTTTGACTTCTGATTAACCACTAATAACATATATTTAGCACTTTGTGTTTTTATAGCTATCAAGCCTTCAACAGTCATA